ACCTGAGGACATAATGACAACAACATAGGCTTATATTTTAACACCCCATAAAGGAAGTCTGATGGCAGGTGCTGTGGCTGTGGATGTGAACCAGCAAGAGAAAGAGGTCAAAAAGCATTTAAACACAAAGGGAGTTTTGAATAGGGATGAAATAAAACAGTAAAAGTAACCTTGATGGCATAAAAAGATGGCAGAGAATGTTTCACAGCGTGCAGGGAAAAGCTTCATGTAGTCACTTGGAAGTCATTGCGATGAAAAAGACCCTTCATTCTTTTCTCTTAGTGTGTTTTAGGATCATTTATGAGCTCGGGTTGTGTTTAAATTGCTCTGTTCATGTTTTCGTCTTCATATTTGTTTCGTAGATTGCTCCATTGCTCCTGGAAGGCTGTTCAAACTTCCACAAGAACTTTGGAGGCATTGGTATTTGATGTGAGCTACTGTGTTGATCCGAATCTTAGTCGTCTCATAAATCATCTTGTAGATTCTGCAATAAGAACTATTTGGATAGAAAAGGGAGAAATTACAGGGCTTCTTTTGTAGTTTGATGTGCTCAGCTTCTAGTTTCTAAGAGCTCAAAGTTTTTATGGGCAAGTGTAGCCTTCTGACCTACTGGTGCTTGCATCCCGATAACCAGAATGTTATCTTTGCCTCTGCAGTCGTAATTTTTAAGGGATGAAAATGATCTGCCTACCAATAATGTACAGCTTTGTTAATGATTAAAGTGCATTTAGATAACGCATGACAAATGTGTTTCACAGTTTAAGGCACAGTTGCTTTTCGCATTTTCTTGCCATTAATTTTGAGGTAACCTGCTGACGTTAGAGCGGATGCCTGTGTTTTATAATGCGTTTTTCAGATAACCTGCTGTAGAGTGCATTGTTGTGCTCCTTTTTTTTTATATCTTATCAGGGAAAAGTTAATGGCCAGCTCCTCCCCGTCATGCAACATTCAGGCATCCTGTGGGACACACTCTAAAAGGTTAAAGCCTATTATTCTTTTTCTGTTTTAATCAGGGGCATGTTGTGATGACCAATGAGACTCCTCTGGGGGATTGGACCCACAAGTGACAGCTGGAGATGTTGTTAACCAGTCCTCTGATTTATTTATGAGTGATGAGGTTTTATTTTTCAAGTGGGGATGAGTCTGCCTGGTAGACAGGAGCTGGCTCTGAATTGACTTTCTGTCAGGGTTCTGTGTCCTTTTTTCTTTGTTTTAATCAGCACTTAAAGGATGGGGACAACTCCCCATCAACTAAGTGGTGTCAAGGCTCAAGTTCCTCTGTGAAAAACACAATTACTTTTACTTTTTGGCAACCAGAGAGCTCTTGTTTTGTGTTTGATTTGGATGTGAAATTCCTTTCAATGATTGTTAATTTGATGATGGTCCAGAATAAATGCCCTCAGTGTCTGGAACTCTTCAGTTTGATTTGTACGGTATTGAATTATTAACATATTTCATGTGTGGTACTATTAAGACCATAGGGAGCACAGTTTCCCTCCGTACCTAACAGCCCACATTTCCTGTTATGCCCCTGAACGGAGGAGGTTACACGTAGAACTCTGAACTGTAGTTGTGATCGCTGTACTTATGTTTGAAGAAAGAGGCAACCTTTATTTATAAAAAGATTTATTTATTTGTGATTTTTGTTGAAAGTTTCATTAGCTAATGTAGCATATATGTCAATGTCTCATATAAAATATATCTGAGTTGCGTCGATCTGAATGCTGCCTGCTCTGTGCCACTTTGGGTTGACTTTTTGTCACACTCCTTCCGTCTGGAAGTGGTGAGCTGTAGAAAAGTGGAAAGGAAAAAAATCTGCATTGACTCCACAAAGAATCTGAGGTGATGGGCTAATTTTCTAGCTCCTCAAATGTCAGTCCTGTGGTTGGTCTGATGGTGTTAGGTGAAAGCTCAATCCATAGAAATCCCATTTCATAACCCACATGGCCAAAGTGTCTATCAACACACATCCTGGTAGATTTCCAGCAGGTCCTGTGATATTCCTTGTCCACGTCTTTGGGCTGCGCTTCGTCTGATCCCTCACCTAGGACCTTTTTGCCTCGGGTGACCCTACCAGGGTCTTAAAGCCCAGAACTACTTAGCTCCTAAGATCATTGGGACACTCAAGCCCCTCCACCTCTCCCTGGGCTGGGTCTACCCGACTGTGTTTTGGTTTTAACAGAGTACCTGATTTTCTATTTGTAAATCACAGTTTGAACAGAGTTGACAAGCATTATCAATTAATTGGATATCTTTTTGTATCATTTTCTTGCTTTATGAAGTTGAACTACCCATGACTCAGAATCCAGAAACGTCACTGGACGGATGGAAAAGTCCGTCAGAGTCCTAGAAACTCACTCAGCTTTTATGCAGACACGTTGATTACAACTAAACAGGTGAGGAAGGTTACCTTTAGTAGCCATTCAAACCCATTTTTGTCAACTTTTGTGCATGTTATCAGGCCAAAATCAACAGGGTATGTAAACTTTTGATCAGGGTCATTTGGATGTTTTTTGTTGTCATTATGATTTAAAAATAGAAATCACAGTTGTTTATCAATAAATGGCTTCACCTAACCACTAACCCTTATTGGAAGAAATTATTTTGTGTTATCATTCATCTTCTCCTAAAGAAAAAAGGTAAATAAAAGGAAAAATTCAGCAGGGGTATGTAAACTTATGAACACAACTGTATATGTGTGTATATATATATATATATATTAGGGGTGGGACGGTTCACAAAATCCACGGTTCGGTTCGTTTCACGGTTTTGTGGTCACGGTTTTCGGTTCGGTTCGGTACATGGTGATTGTTAGGAAAATCTATTATGTCTTGTATAGTCAGGTTAAAACTAGGGATGGGGAACGTTAATATTTATTGATATCGATACTTTTATCGATACTCCTTATCGATCCGAGTCTTTATCGATACCACTATCGATAATTTTCTGTTATTTGGTGGAAAGACGATGCGACAATATTTAACAAATAAATAATTGTATTTTAAATTAAATGTAATTTTTAATAAATGTTGGCATCAGTAGTTTAATTATATATTCTAAAATAATTAGAGCAATATACAACTGTATTACTCATGTTTCTCGCCAAAAACTCAATTTCCCTTTTCTTTACGTTACACTTGAACGCATCATGATAACCTAATTGTCGTTTTACTGAGCCAATCTGAACACATCATCACGCAGCACGTCTGAAACTTTATTTACTTTTCAAGCTAACTAGCTTGTATGCTGCCGATTACAACACAGATTTCACAATTACTATTGTAATAATAAAAAAACGACCAGACTCGATAGTGGTATCGATAAGCCCAAACGGTATTGATTTTCGGGTTTTGAAAAAAGTGGAACCGGGTCCTTGATAGAACCGGGTTTCGATCCCCATCCCTAGTTAAAACTGAAAGAAAAAAGCAGTCTGACATTTGATACATTATTGTGACAGTCTGAGGTTAAAAATAGGCGAGATTCTGGCATTGCCAGAGAGGAAACAGAGCTAATTCCAACATGTGCTTGACTCTAAATGCAAAGAGGTCTATACAGCAGACCTAGAAACTGCTGTTAGCGCGTCTGATTTTTATCGGCTACGCTGCTTCGCTTCTTCTTCTTGTTTCCTACTGGTGGTTGGCTTTGGGTGCAGTAGCGCCCCCTTCTGCTCTGGAGTGAACACGCTTCCCTCTGAGAAAAAGGAGCAGTGCATGAACCGTGCGGTACACACGCGAACCGAACCGAGACAGTCGAACCGAACGGTTCGGACGGTTTTCAGAAACCGTCCCATCCCTAATATATATATATATATATATATATATATATATATATATATATATATACATACATATATACAGACGTGTGTGTGTGTGTGGATGTAGGTGAGGTGTTGAAAATGTGGACCAGGAACCATCTCATCGACTATGTTACAACATGTAATCTTTGGATGTTTGAAATATAAGACAGCAAATCCATTTTCTGTTATGGTTCGTGATGCTGTCGAGGCGTGCCTTTTGCGCTGTAATCTGTGGGTCACTTGGCCTGAGGGGTAAGCCAGTTGGTGTCTCTGTGATTTTTCCCACTGACACGCCGGCTGCTTCATTTTCCATCAGTGGTAGCAACTTAGGTTTCGTGTACTCAGTGTAACAAAGTCTGTGTAAACTTGGGCTCAGCGCTTGCAGCAGTAATGGGTATTTATTTACGAGTTTATATCTGTTAGTGGTCTTCGACCTCGGCCCATCTAGAAGAGCCCTGTCTGGGTTTAGTACAGCCTGTCAACGCCTGAGAGGTTTGTGGCGATGACTTATCTTTCGGTTCCATTGCTGGCATCTAACACCCGGGACTCTCTGTTTCTGTCCCCCTGGAGAGGACACGGTTATTTTTGGGTACCAAGGTTAGGAGGGACGGCATGCAATACTCAGCCGAGGTATGTCCGGGCAGAGAGTTTGGGACACGCAGAGGTGGTGCCTGCACTGCGGCAGTCAAGTATGTGTAATGGGCCGGCATGTGAGTGGAAGCTCCCCTGCTTGGTCTGCCTGTTTCTGAAGGCTTCTCCGCTTCGGCCAGTTGTTGGGCTGCCGAGACACTTGAGCTGAATTTGGTCTTGAACTTGGTCTTGTCGCAAAGATGCTTTTCTTCTGCTTGTTCCGAAGCATTGCTCAGTTAAGGAAATGTCCCAACAACCGTTTTTCTTAATGACATGAAGTCAGATCAGAAGTGAGTACACTCGCCAAATAAAACCAGCACATGTATTAATATCTGGATTTTAGGCTTTGTTTACAGCTGAATTGTTACCACGGACTCAGAGGCTTGAACCCCTGAAAAGAAATGTGCATCAAAATGTGCTGCTGGATTTGAGATATTTAGCTGTTGGATGTTAAACCACATCATCATTTTTAGTTTTTTTGGGGGGGGGGGTGAGCTTGTATGTGAGTGTGAAAGGCTCGGCTCGAACTTCACTGTAAACTAGCATTATCTGTAAAGGAAACAACAAAACTAGCCGCTCGTTTTCCAAAGAATGCCTCTTTAACAAGAAATTCTAAGAAAGGGATAAAAACAAAGAAAAACCAAAACAAGCCACTGTTGCATTGGTTTGTTGTGAATCAACCCGAGGCTCAACTGTATTGCGATGGCAGCTTAACAGTGAGTTAGTCAATTCCCAGGAGTGATAATAATAATATAATGATAATTACAAAATCATTAAAACAGGATGTTACGTAGCTTTTTAAGTTAGGAATCTTGTCTGCAAATAGGAATTTCAAACTACAGTTGCCCGATATTTAATTTGTTAATGTTTCAGTAGATGGTCGGCCCGACTTAAGCATCAGGCCCCATCACCATGGATACAGCTAACATTTATATTGATTAAACATCCAGGTGTCCGCAGCAGGCTCTGTTGTGTGGAGTAAAACTCAGTTTGGAAACTAAACTCTGCTTACGAACCATTTTCTCTCACATGGCTTAATCCAAATACTAAAATTATATATATATTTATCCCTCTCTGTTATTCTCCTTGTCCATAACCGTAATAATATGCATATCAGGCAGGTGAAGTCGTATGAAAAACACAGGCCCAAAAGCCCTGTGACGTCATTTGAACAAAAAAGGAGGATTGACCTGCTGGTGTAATACTTACAGATCGCACTACAAGGGGACATCTTGAAGTTGAGTTCCTAAACCAGAATTTCTGGTCCTTGATGGAGCAGGGAAACATCTAAACCTTGTTGGATAGGACCAGAGATTGACCCCATGTAAAAGGATAGAAGTGTTTACTTTTTGATAATAAACACACTAAATTAACTTATGTAAATAATTTTCTTGATTATCTGCTTATATTTCATACTCGATAAAGCATATTTTTCTTAGATATTATTATTGTTATTATTATCATTGATATTGTGTCAATGGCCATCTCTTATGTTATTTACATAAATGAATTACTGTATATCCAATTAGTTTGTCATTAGGTTTCTTCCCTTTTTCTCCCCAGGCTTACTTCAGGACCTTTTAACCGACTACCTCAACGCTGCGTTTTTTCTTCTTCCCCTACCTCACTTTGCATTATGGAGCCAGAGCCATCAGCTGCTAGCTGAGGGACGGGCTAGCAGGGTTTATCTACAGATCTCAGGTATCGCTCACCCAGTTGTTGTGTAACACAGCTTTACCACCGTAACTCCCCTCTGGAAGGGGCAGCCTTTTGAGACAGCAATGCTGCTCCAGGGGTTGTGATGTCCCAGCCCTGCAAGGGACCTGAACCAGAGACCGAACAAGGGCCGATTCCCATAAACATCCCTTTCTTTGTAATTGGCTGTGAAGATGATGACCACGACATGGGTCAGATGGAGGCTGGAATGAAGCGAGAGATGTTTCGAGAGGAGGATATGGAGGACGATGAAGATGAGTCGGTAAGTAAAGTTTTTTTTTTTTTTTCACGCAAAAAAACTTCATATCTGCATAAATAAAGCTTTATATTTTTTGTCAAAAATAATTGTTTGAGTCAAAGTATAAAAGACAATCTTCTCTGCGGCTACCTAACTGCTGGGCTTTCATGTAACGGAAACTAGTTGGTTGATTGCAAGTCTTTTCACTGTGTTTTAACCAGTCGGTTATTCTCATTTATTCTTGAATTTAGCTGTCTGGTGGCACATTTTATGATGTAACGCTGACCTTCAGCCATTAACATTTGGTATATGCGTGAGGCTTTCAGAAAGATCAAAGAACAGTGACAATTCCTGGCCTAACTTCCAATTCCTGAAGGGAGTCTGACACTGAAGAGCTTTTTCTGCACAGAGGTGTTTCAGATGTAATTTAGGGTTTGGTCTAAGGAAAGGTTACAATTTCACTAAGCGGCTAAAGTCTAAATGGCTTATGCACAGTGAGGGAACCTTTTTAGGGTGCAGAAAATGTATAATCAATGTTTTCCCATCAACATTGGATCAAACTACTCGCACTTACCTACACTTTTTAGAGCCATTCATTGACGTGACTAACTTGATGTAAATGGCATTTTCAGTTGAAACGTTCGCTCTCTTTTTTCTTGTTAAGGTTTCATATCGACCGCAAAAGTCTGTTCTTGGAACCAGGGTCCTTTAGGAGGTTGATATCAGAGGCTTGATGCTTAAATGATGGCGGTGTATTTAGGTCCTTGGCCATTAAGCTCTGAACATTTTATTTCAATCTTTCTGTCTCTATCTTCTAATAGGATCACCACAAATCTGTCTACAAAAAAAAGAAGAAACTTGTACAAAATGTCATAAAAAGACAACTAAAAAAAGAAAAAGCAGTAGAGCCCATTATCACTTCCTGTTTTCTACTGTTGAGCAACAGACTGCAGAAAAAGAGCAGTTCCAGAATGAGAAGTTGCTCCAATTCTGGATAAAGAAGGCGGTGAATCAGAGCAATTGAACTGCCGATCTCCAGTCTTTCCTGGAGCTGTACTGTAAAACACCAAAATGTATAAATATGGACAGTTTTAGAGACTTCCTTGTTTGCAGGTTGAACTGATCCACTGGCCAAGAGTGCTGACCTGAGTCAGGAAGCTTTGTTTGTGATCTAAAGTTTCAATTTGGAGTAATAAAACTGCTTTTATTTTGCGCACTGGAGTGCTTAAATGGCAATAAAAGTTTGTTACATGAGCAAAGTTTGTGGTAGATTTGACTCATGAGTTGGAGTGACATGAAAGCCCCCAGATTCTGTCTTCACCGGAAATATATCATTAATTTGATGCTGACATAAGTTCAAGAAAGACATCTTTTTTATGTTTAAAGACTGAAAGGCTTTTTGTTTGACTCTGGACATCTCTTTTTGTCTCCCTCTACCAGCCGATAGAGCGGCAGGTTGTTGTGGGCATATGTGCAATGATGAAAAAGTCCAAGTCAAAGCCTATGACTGAGATCTTGGAGCGACTTTGCAAGTTCGACTACATTGATGTGGAGATTTTTCCAGAGGAGGTGATCCTAGAGGAACCTGTGGAAAAATGGCCCCTCTGTGACTGCCTGATCTCCTTCCATTCCAAAGGTAAAAGGGACTTCTGAAAACTGGGTTGTAGGGCGTGAACAACTCCATCTTCTCGGATGTTGGCTTTTTCTGTGTGACTGCATAAACTTGTCCTTAAATCTGGTAATGATGTTTGTGCTTTCTACATAAGTTTTGTTTTAGACACCCATGGGGAAAACCACTATGTCTGTTAGCTTATTTCAGAAGGATGTTCCGGTTTTTGCTAGGCTGAAAGAAAACACTGACAGTTTATGGCCAACAGGGAACAGTAGGATTAGAGGTATCCATTTAAGGCTTGTGATGAATCCAACTCCTCGTGGCAGTGTGGCTTAACCAAAACATTCAGAGACCAATACAATCCACACACAACGAACACAATGAAAGCTCCAGATGCATTTTTAATTTACGGCATTAGGAACCCAAACTGTACAGTTAGCTCTTGTTTCCGTCTCTAAATGTCCACAATTCTCATTATTTATTTATTTGCCAGATTTGTTTAATCTGCAGAGCCTAAAGGGGGTCTGCTCCATTTGCACAGACAGCTCCTCTCCCTGCACGCTGTGTGTTTACAGCAGCTTCCGAATGCAAATGCCACCCTCACAAACAAACTCCAGACTTAATTGAGGAAGGAAGACCTCAAAATTGGCCTTGAAAATGTTTTAAACTCGGTTTCTAAGATACATTGGAGCCTTTGAAAAAAGAGGGTTTTACATATCAAAGAGCAGTTATTTTAGCCCCCTCCTTGCATTTGGATGTGAATATCCCCTTATCTAACCTGAGGGTCTGATCTTTAAACCTCTGTTCATTATGAGTGTGTGAATTAAATGTGTTTTGCCAGACAACTATAAAATTAATAATCAACATCCATCTATTTTCTAACTGACTAACTAATATGTAATGTATATATAACATATGCACACATTCATTGCTAATTTAAGTCATACTTCCCTTGGGTTTCTTTGTTTGTCTTTGTCTACTTTTTCCATTCTATTTTTAATTTTTAAAGAGTTGCACAGACAGTCGTGGGAACATGTGAGTCCAGTGTTTACTGTCTGTTCATTTTTACTGGAGAGGGCTGGGGGAAGCTAATATTTACTTAAACATTTAGGGCAGGCATATCTGTTGTGCTCACAAGCAGAGAATTATTAAATTATTATTGAAATCCCCTCTTGTTTTCATACATGGGGATTTGATATAGAAATTAAAGGTTAAGGCTTTTGATCTTGGAAATATGAACATACACATATATGTGTATATATAAAGGTGTGTATAATTTTTGTTTTTTCAGGTTTTCCTCTTGACAAAGCTGTGGAATACGTCAAGCTCAGGAATCCGTTGCTCATTAATGACCTCAACATGCAGTATTTCATTCAGGACAGGTACAGTTCAAGCAGACAGGCACACCTTATTTCATTATTTCAGTGTAAATAAACACGTGAACATTTGTCACGTTTGTCTAACTGAAATCATTTAAAATCATGGATCTATTCAGCTTGATTTGAAATCGCTCTGTTTGCTCCACACATTTCAAAGTTGCATCTTTTTGTAAAAATTGAGGATATACATTAACACATCATATTTCAGCTAAGTGGCCCTTTTTTCCCTTTACCTACTCTTCACTATCTTTATGCGGCTGAACCGATAAAAAATTGCCAATGAAAATTGGCCTGATGAGACTTTGTGTCAGCCAACAGTCTCTCATAACATTTCTGGTCTGTTGGTTGGCTCGAATAAATTTGTTTTTTTTTTTTTTTAATAAGAAAAATAACCTTACGACTGACTTACAGACAACATATGTGCAGGGAAATAATTTCTCCTGACACATTTATGAAGATATGCTGCTGAGAAAGTTGTTGTCTTAGAACATTTCCTCCCACAAACAATCCTGACTCCTCTATAGTTTACATTTTGTGCTTTTTCAAGCGATACAGATGTTCATTACTGGCTCTCATATATCTATTTGACTAACATGACCCTCATGCAAAACGACTTTGCTGTTATTCTCCGTAACTACAAACCACTGGCATTTTTTGCCCCTTGCAAACTTTCGTCCTTCTCAACCTGAAGGGTGAGCAGCAATGTGAGCAATAAGACCTAAATGCTTTATTGACATGCTTTACTCTCCTCTAAGAGAAACACACACATCAGACACATTGCAAAATTGTCAGTGATGGTGTTTTGATTCTCCATCAGGAGGGAAGTGTACCGGATCTTACAGGAAGAAGGCATCGATCTACCTCGTTACGCCATTTTAAATCGAGACCCAGACAATCCTGAAGGTGGGCAGATTTTAACAACTTGTATCGTAACAGTTAAAGACGGTTTAGAACCAAATTTACATCAAATTCCAGATTAAGGGAGGGGTTTAATTTGACCGTGAGTTAATATGCAGATTTCCTGTTGTGATTGAGTATGTTCCACTAAAGCAGCGCTTGGTGGTGCTGACTTCGTGCCTTTTTAAAGATGTCATCCTGCGTTTGATTTAACGCTCAAGTTGCACCCTGTGCAGAGTGTAGCCTAGTGGAAGGGGAGGACCACGTTGAGGTGAATGGTGAGGTGTTCCACAAACCCTTTGTGGAGAAACCTGTTTGTGCAGAAGACCACAACGTCTACATCTATTACCCAACATCTGCTGGAGGAGGCAGCCAGAGGCTCTTTAGAAAGGTAACTTTCCTGAAGCAGAGGAGGCAGATAGGTCACGGATTATGTTTAAATGCATGGCATAAGCTGACATTGGACCTTTTTCTGAATACGATCATATTCTGTTTAGAAGTAGTTTGCATTCCACTCATGCAGTTACATCTTACAGAGCGCAGTCAGATTAATGATTTACGTTCCTTCTCCTTGTGGCACCAAAATGTTTACATCCACCCACAGCTTTAATTACATCCATATCCCTCTAGACATGGAGCTTTACTTTGGCTCCTACTTTTCCCGTTGTCTCCATGTTCTGCACTGACTCTGCTAGAAGTTTATCTGCTTTAATTATTTAATGTCAATTTTCTGAGTTCTGGGCAGGAAAAGTAAGAGAAAATGCCCCCAGAAAGGGCAATTTTTTGTCAGCGGTGTCAGATCTTACCTGGCTTATAGCTCTTACTCATGCCTATTAAAAAAAGCCTCTTGAATGTTTTCTTTGTTAGTGAATAGGTAATGGAATATTTAAAGTGGAATATACCTGTTTGCTGCCTTTATTCCATGGAATTCCCATTCACAAAATAAATAGTGAAAGTGATTTTTAGCAAAGAGAACGATCCGGAACTATGACATTCATGATCAGTTTTAATATTTAACAAGTTTCACATGCTGATTGTGTTTTTTATTTATCTTTAAAGAATAACGTATTTGTTTATGTACTTTGTACTACATTAGGGGATCTATTTTCATGCCACATGGCTGCTTTGTCACTTTTGTCTCTGCTGTAGATTGGAAGTCGCAGTAGTGTTTACTCCCCAGAAAGCAGTGTGCGAAAGACAGGATCCTACATCTATGAGGAGTTCATGCCAACCGATGGCACTGATGTGAAGGTACCATAGATGCTGTCGTTATTTCCATTAGCTTTATTCCTCATCGTGTCAAGTGTTAGGGACAGCGGTGGATGGGCATTACTGGTAAATCCTCACTGTTATTCTGCTAGTAATTGTTGGAAATGCCATGTCAGGTTTACACCGTTGGCCCAGATTACGCCCATGCTGAGGCCAGAAAGTCTCCAGCACTGGATGGAAAGGTGGAGAGAGACAGCGAGGGGAAGGAGATCCGTTACCCCGTCATGCTCACAGCCATGGAGAAACTGGTGGCTCGCAAGGTTTGCCTGGCATTCAAGGTAAACGGCGTCACATGGTGGATCCAAAAAAAAGGCTGAACTTAAAATCCGATAATTATATATTCTGTCATCACATATTTTGGAAACAACTTTTTTAAAATCTTTCCTGTGTTTATCAAACAGTTGAGATTAAGACCATGAAGCTTTCAAAACAATTAAACTTGGTCAGTAGTGAGTTAGTTTCTTTCAGTGTCCCATTTCAGCATAAAAAATGGAAAAGTGAGTCTTAAAGACTTTTACATTTTCTTTTATTACAGAACCTCATTCAGAATCCTCAGTCAATAACTTTTCCATGTGGTGTGTACATTTTTTAAAAACTTTTTTTTGTTATTTAGCAAACAGTCTGTGGGTTCGACTTACTCCGAGCCAACGGCCATTCCTACGTCTGTGACGTGAATGGCTTCAGCTTCGTCAAAAACTCCATGAAATACTACGACGACTGTGCCAAAGTCCTGGGGTAGGTGCTTACTACATAACTGTGCTTTGTAAGTGACCTCACAGGCAGAAATGGAGCCACTGTGAAATGCTGATAGTGGAGAGAGATACAGTGTTGTGTGAGCAAAATAAAGCTCATGGGGAAACTAATGTTTGTGAATATGAAATGCTTCGGTCAGTTTTGTGAGGCATGTCTTGCTTTATGGTAATCTCTTTTCTTGGCATGTCTTTAAAGACGACGTCCTGTAATTTATCCAAAGCCATGAAGCCCACAGCTGTTGAGGGTCCTGTTTTTTTCAGGTTCATACCTATTTAATTTGTTCCCGTCTAGCCTGGCGATGGAATTGAGCTTTTCTTTTTGCGATGCCTTCTTTTTACAAATGTGCACCGTGCACAGCAGAGAAGGAGAACAGTTCAAGCAGCAGGAGCGTGAAAAGTTTACTAATGTGATGAAACTACTTTTCACTTTTTTTCCCATGCTTCGCTAGAAACATGGTAATGAGGGAGTTGGCTCCCCAGTTGCACATTCCCTGGTCAATCCCCATGGAGGCTGAAGACATCCCAATTGTCCCAACAACCTCAGGAACCATGTATGTATTAAGAGTGCCTTACACCTGTGGTTAGCATGACTCAATCTATTGCAAAACCCCTGACAAACGTCATACGCCTGTACTGCATTTTGTTTATTGTATTCTGTCTTGAAGTTACTTGATAAGCAGGACAAGTTTACATGGAGACCAAATGCACAAATGCTTTTAAATATTTGAATTTGATCTATTCTTTTTAATGATTAAAAGGGAAAATGCTGTAAAGTTACAAATAAATAAATACAAATATTAGGTAAATGTAAAATGAGCATGGTTCATTTAAAGTCTCACATTTTTTATCAAGTTTATATGAAAAACACCATTTATCTTTTCAGAAAAACAGCTCAAACACCACATTTCCCAGATAGATAATGATGTGTTAGACCTTTGAATGTTTTCCCACTCAGCTTTCCCTCTGTGTGAAGAGCCATAGTTATCAGTTTTTCTTGCTGGTCTCAGTTCTGGATAACATTATCTGACTTTAAGATTTTGTTTCAGTACTCAAAACAACACATAGGCCACATTTAGTTTTGTTCTACTGTTATCTATTTGTTTATTCATGTAGGATGGAGCTGCGTTGTGTTATTGCCATTATCCGGCATGGCGACCGAACACCAAAGCAGAAGATGAAAATGGAGGTCCGACATCCGTTGTAAGTTTATTTCAGCACAATAATTATCTCCTGATTACAATCAACGCTCTGCCTGAGTCAAATAATCAGTTTGTTGTCACATACCTTTGACTCTGTTCTTGTGATTTGGCACAATACTGGCTTAGAAGCATAAGTAGCATCAGCTTTTTCCATCAGACTGAAACCAAAGGAGCAAAAGGGCTTAAAAAGACCTATGTTATGTTAAACCTTATTGTAGTGATAAGTGTTTTTTGTTTTATTTAGAAAATGCTAACTCTGTTTCTTGGTTGCCCTTGTCTCTTTTGAAAACAGATTCTTTGATTTGTTTGAGAAGTATGGAGGATACAAGACAGGCAAACTCAAACTGAAAAAGCCAAAGCAGTTGCAGGTGAGTAGGACTCATCCAAAACCTTATTCCCCGCCATAATCACTCTGTTGTCAGACTAGTTTTGGGAAATAATGAGACATTTTTAGAAAGAACGCAAACATTTTCCCTTGTATTTAGATTTACCGTTGCAGTGGACGGTGACGCAGTGGTTTGTTTTCCAAATCCACTCACACGCTCATGCTGCGTTTATCTGGTCTCTGCGTGAACGTATATAAAATACAGCTGACACTGACCTCATCGTAAGTGTCAGGACCTGAGAAGAAATAAGTTCAAAAGATAGGTCTCCTGCTCTGTTTTGACCAGGAAGTGCTGGATATTGCCCGCCTGCTGCTGGTGGAACTAGGCCAACATACCGACTGTGAGATTGAGGAGAAGAAATCCAAACTGGAACAGCTCAAGACCGTACTGGAAATGTGAGTGACACGTCACATGAGACACTGACTCTCACCAAAACGCAAGCCATCAGTCATCTACCTCCCCCCCTTCACCCTCCTCCTCCTGTTCGCGACATCATCATTCATCCGTGGCTCATCTTTCAACACCTTACTGGGGTTCAGCCAACTTTCTCGTACTCACCATCACACACATGTCCATCATAAAATAAATAAAAAAAACAATCCCTCTCTTTCATCTTGACTTTAACTTTTTGTTTTTTTCCCCTCTCTTCTCCTTTTATCCTCTCCTCATTCTCTTGCCAACCCATTCGTCCTGTTGTTTCTCCGAAAAGGGAATCCAGCTTGAATGACACTCAGTACGCACCCTCTCCCTTCTCACTTTAAAGGATGAGGTTAAACCACCTGTTCAACCTGGAGTGTGTACAAAGTATTAGGGAGGAGGAGGAACCTTTCTCAGACAGAGAACACTGATTTAACTAGTAAAAATGTTCCTTTAATCAGTGATATCAGTTCATAGCATAAGACCAGAGACTTGAGCTGAAGTTTGGAGGGTACTCCTAATATTTTGTACACTTTCTCACTCATTTTCTTTAAAAATCTATCCATTTTTAAAGGATTAACATTTTTTACACAGTCTAATGATGATTTCACTGTGTTTCTGAGTGTTTAGATCCAAGTGTGCAGTGCATTTAGTGTGCATGCCATCCTCACTACAATCCCATAATGTCTTCCTTCCTTTTGCCTCTTATCTACATTTATACTTATTTTTAGTATTTAACTCGTGCTTTTATCTTAGCGGACTTGGGGCCCGGCCCCTTTTTATGTGCCACCAAAAGCCTATGTGATTGGGGGATAAGGTGACCCTTTCCTCTTTTTGGGAGCCAACTGCAGTGGTTAAACTGAGCACAAATACAACAAGGGTCTTTTGGCCATGTATGAGAGCTATATTTGGAACAGATAACTGTATTTGTAGTACTGTTATGAACATGCAGCCTCACAGCTCTCTGGTGCACTTCTTATCCACTGAACTTTCAGTTTTCTTTGTGCCCGAAACAAAAACTTCTATGGAGCTGATACAGAATAAAAAAAAAAATCCAGTTTTTTTGCTGTGGCAGTTCGTGGTCAGCGTTCTCTTTGCTTTGGCAGGGAACACATGAATAAGCAAACACCCGTAATACCCACATTTCACATTTGAATCCTTTTCACAGCCGTGATGTGATGTCCTGTCAATGGTCTCCTACAGCTGAATGCTAGCCTTAGCCTAAGCATTCTTAGGCTTAATCAAACTTTCCTAAACCAAGTTTTTTGAAGGGAGGTTTTCAAACCCATAAACATTTTCCGCATCCCCCTCATTCAGGGGCGACTGCGACATGGATTTGAGGCGCCTGCGTGGCTGCCTGTCCTCTCAGAGAACACTATGCTGTCATTAGACCTCGGCAGGTGCCAAATTGTTCATACAGCTTAACTTGATAGGCAAGTGGAAGCATTCACTTCATCTTTTTCCTCTTGAGTTCACACTGGTGTACAGTTACGCACTAAAGCCATCCCTGGCGTTCCATTGGAGCCACTGCTTTTCAGATGTTTAACTCAAACATGCCTTAAGCATAACCTAATTATCCTGACCAACTGCTAATACTGGCACCCAAGTGTGTGTTTGTGTGTGTGATCAGCGTGTCTGATTTTAAAGTTGTGGCCTTGTTCTTTCCTCCTTTTTATTAAGCTTGTGTTATAATAAACACGGAATGGAGGTCAGATATGTGTTTAGCTTTCGAAAATGGAGTGAATGCTTTTGTCTGTCGGTGCACATATGACACTTTGTGTGTGCCACTTGATAAATGTGTGCGTGTCTTCATATCCTCCAGGTATGGTCATTTTTCAGGTATCAACAGGAAAGTCCAGCTGACCTATCTTCGAAACGGTCAACCTAAAGCCTCAAGCGAGGAAGAAGGTACGAATAAATATGGCGTGGGTGCAGTTTCAGACAGTTTAGACAGATGTCATTAGACTGTATGTCTGTGCAACTTGACGTCATCAGTGGCACGTTGATAGTAGTCCATGTCAAATGTGAAGAAATAATAAATAATAAGTTACAGCAAATGAATCCTGAAACAGGATTTTGAGGCAAATTTCAAGCAAACCAGACAAGAATATTCTGTGAAAACCCCTCGGTTCTGTTAATTTGGATCACAAATTAAGGTTGTTCCCTGCTCTGATTAGCATGCATGCTGAATTAAATCTAGCCCTGGATACAGCTAGACCTGGCCGGTTTATTTGGACTTTGCAAATAAACTTTTATTTCAGCAGAACTGAGTCACAAACTTAAAGTTATTCTCTTATATTCTGCTTCTTTGAACGTTTAATCTGGGAAACGATGAGACATGGAATGACAGCTGAATTGGCTGCACAAACATTGTCTTTTGTGATCTTTTCAACCATGCGTTTATTCCCCTGACAAAATTAAGAAGCGCAACTTCATTTTGAAATAACAGGTGTTGACATATACAGTGGGGAGAACAAGTATTTGATACACTGTTGATTTTTCAGGTTTTCCCACTTGCAAAGCTTGAAGAAGACTGTAATTTTTATCATAGGTACTCTTCAACTGTGAGTGATGAAATCTAAAACAAAAATCCAGAAAAATACAATGTATGATTTTTAAATAATTAATTTCCATTTTATTGTGTGAAATAAGTATTTGATACACCAGAAAAAATAAACTTAATATTTGGTACAGAAACCTTTGTTTGCAATTACAGAGATCAGACGTTTCCTGTAGTTGTTGACCAGGTTTGCACACACTGCAGCAGGGATTTTGGCCCACTCCTCCATACAGATCTCCTCCAGAGCCTTCAGGTTTTGGGGCTGTCGCTGGGCCACACGGACTTTAAGCTCCCTCCAAAGATTTTCTATTGGATTCAGGTCTGGAGACTGGTTAGGCCACTCCAGGACCTTAAGATGTTTCCTACGGAGCCACTCTTTAGTTGCCCTGGCTGTGTGTTTTGGGTCGTTATCATGCTGGAAGACCCAGCCACGACCCATCTTCAGTGCTCTTACTGAGGGAAGGAGGTTGTTGGCCAAAATCTCACGATACATGGCCCCATCCATCCTTCCCACAATAGGGTGCAGTCGTCCTGTCCCCTTTGCAGAAAAGCATCCCCAAAGAATGATGTTTCCACCGCCATGCTTCACGGTTAGGATGGTGTTCTTGGGGTTGTACTCATCATTTTTCTTCCTCCAAACATGACGAGTGGAGTTTAAATCAAAAAGTTCTATTTTTGTCTCATCAGACCACATTACCTTCTCCCATTCCTCCTCTGGATCATTCAGATGGTCATTTGCAAACTTCAGACGGGCTTTGACA